TTTAAGGCTAGTGTTTCCTTACTGATTTTCTATCTGGCTGATCTATCCATTGATATAAGTGGAACAGTAAAATCCCTTGCTCTTACTGTACTGCTGTCGATTTCTCCCTTTATGTCTGTTAATATTTGTTATATTGTATTTAGGTCCTCCTAATGTTAGGTGCATAAATATTCACAGATATTATATCCTTTTCTTGGACTGACCCCTTTATAATTTTGTAATGCCTTTCTTTGTCTTTTGTTTTAGTCTTTGTTTTAAAGTCTATTTTGTCTGATATGAGTATTGCTACCCTAGCTTTCTTTTAGTTTCCATTTGCATGGAATATCTTTTCCCATCCTTTCACTTTAAGTCAGTGTGTGTTTTTAGATCTGATGTGAAGCCAACATATAAATGGGTTTGGGTTTTTTTTTTTTAATCCATTCACCCACCCTATGTCCTTTGATTGGAGCATTTAGTCCATTTACATTTAAAGTTCTTATGATAAGTATGTACTTATTGCCATTTTGTTAATTGTTTTTTGGTCATTTTTGTAGTTCTCTGTTCCTTTCTCCTTCTTTTAGTCTCTTCCCCTGTGGTTTGATGATTTTCTTTAGTGTTAGGTTAGAGTTCTTTTCACTTTATTTTTTGGTATTTCTATTGTGGGTTTTTGGTTTGTGGTTCATGAGTTTCATATACATGTAACTATATATATATATAGATATATATATGTGTGTGTGTGTGTGTGTGTGTGTGTGTGTGTGTTTTGAGCTGATGGTCACTTATTTGAATACATTCTAGAAGTACTACATTTTTACTCCCCTCCAGCCCATGTTTTATGGGTTTGGCATCAAATTTTATATCTTTTCACTTTGTGTCTCCCTTAACTACTTATTGTAGCTATAGTTTATTTTACAAATTTTGTCCTTTAACCTTCATACTACTGGTGGTTGATCCACTGCCTTCACTATCTATTTGCCTTTACCAGTGAATTTCTTTTCTTTCACGTATTTTCTTATGTCTAGTTATGGCTATTTGTTTTCCACTTAAAGGAAACCCATCAACATTTCTTGTAAGGCTGGTTTAGTGGTGATGAACTCTTAGTTTTTGCTTACCTGGGAACCTCTTTATTTCTCCTTCAATTCTGAATGATAACCTTTCTGGGAAGAGTATTCTTGGTTGTAATTTTTTTTTTCCTTTTAGCACTTTAAATATATCCTGCCCTCTCTTTTGGCTTGTAAAGTTTCTGCTGAAAAATTGGGGGTTTCCTTGTATGTCACTTATTTTTTCTTGCTGCCTTTAAAATATTCTCTTTATCTTTAACTTTTGCCATTTCAATTATGACATGTGTTGATGTGGATCATTTTGGGTTCATTATGTTTAGAATTCTCTGTGCTTCCTGGATCTGCATATCTGTTTCGTTTTCCAGATTAGGGAATTTTTCAGTCATTATTTCTTCAAACAAATTTTCTGTCCCTTTCTCCCTCTCTTCTCCTTCTCGGACTCCTGTAATGTGAATGTTAGTATACTTGATGCTGTCCCAGAGGTCCCTTAATATATCCTCATTTTTTAAAATTATTTTTTCTTTTTGTTGTTCTGATTGGGTGATTTCCACTATTCTGTCTTCCAGGTCACCGATCCATTCTTCTGTATCATCTAATCTGCTGTTGATTCCCTCTAGTGTATTTTTCATTTCAGTTTTTGTATTCTTCAGCTCTGATTGGTTCTCTTCCTAACTATATGTTGAAGTTCTCACTGTGTTCCTCCATTCTTTTCCCAAGATCTGTGAGCATCTTTATGACCATTAACTGAACTCTTTATCGGGTAAATTACTTATCTCTGTTTCATTAGTTTTTTTTTTTTTCTGGAATTTTATCTTGTTCTGTTCTTTCAAATTCTTTTGTCTCATCATTTGTTTGGCCTTTTGTATTTGTTTCTAAGAATTAGGTGTAATAGTTACCTCCCAGTCTTGAAGGAGGTGGCCTTGTGCAGCAGCACCCCTGTGTGGACTGTGTGTGCTGGAAAGCTTTGGCAGGCTGGCTAGGGCTGGAGTGGACATGGGCTGGGGATTTCCTAGGGCATGCTGGGGCTGGGCTGCCTAGGCAGGATGGCTGGAGTGGGTGTGGGCTGGGGCCATTGCTATTTTAAAAGATACTGTGCTTCACTGAGTTCTGGTTAGAAGGGACCTTATGAAATATGATTTAAATGGGGGTTTGTGGGCTTGCCTGATAAATGATTTGTCATTTAAATTATTTCTATGATGAAATGCTTTCTCCACTTCAAGCAAGTGACATACAAGAGTTATCTAGACAGCACCTTCTCCTATAGGTGTAATCCTGCCTCATCAGAGGGGTCAACAATGGAGAGTTACTTGGAGCAGGAAACTCACATGGGCTGCACAAGGTGTCTTAAATCATTATGAGGCTGTCATCTCCAAAGGGAGCCAGAAAGGGCTTTTGTGGTCTTTTTGCCACAGTGACTCCTTGGGCCATCAGTCCTTATGACTTGCCAGTGTTGAGCACTGTGGAGCATTGTTCAGTGCATCGAGATAAAGGCAGAAGTTAATGTTGCCAAAAAGGGTGATGATGGGAAAAGTGGGAAAAGTGGCAGCTCTGAGAGGATATCCCCTCCAACCCTCACAACATTGGCAGCACCAGAGTGGGCTTCCCTGAACTCCACATGTACTTTCTGCCCATCTCAAGGTTGTACCAGCATTAGAGGTGTGTCTGATTAATAACTGTTTAAACTGCAGGCTTTCTCTGTGCAAAGCAGCTGGTTGATATAATTAAGCCACAGCATGTTCTTGGGGCAGAGGCTTTGCATTCCAGTAGTCCGTGGCTTGATTCTGGGCTCCCTGGCTTACTACCTGTGGGACCTTGGCCACCCTATTTAGCATTTCTGAACTGTGATTGCCTCATTTATGAAGTGAGGAGGGTAGCACCAGATCCTAAAGCAGTCCCTAAGATTATGTGAGAAAATGTGGTAACTCAATATGTCATATTGTTGTTATGGTTGTGTTATGTTTTCCAAATGTACCCCTCCATCTCCCCACCCAAATCTTCCTGCTTATTGGCGGTATGAGTTTGTAAAGCCCAGAACTTCCTTGCTACTCAGGTTACACTGGACACAGATATGCTAGATTAGAAATTGTGTTGGTGTCAGAGCAGCCTCCACAAAGGGAAGCTTGGCCTTAAGTTGGAGTTCATGTGATCGAGCCCAGCTCTTTGTGGCTGGCCTGTGGCCTGTTTTTGAGCCTGAATATTGCTTGACAGGCAACCCAACTATAGTAGAGAGGAAACCCACTTCCCTTTCTCTGTTCTCTTTTCCACAGAGAAGCCCTGGTATACTCTGGGAGCGGAACAGCCGGTTTTTAAATGGCGTTGGTACTGGAGACTCTTCTTGGGTTTGCCTTCTGCACCATGCCAATTTGTTCCAACCAGCTTTCCTCGTTTGTCATGAAATCCTCCACTTCCAACTGGAACATAGCTAATATGGGACTTACCTATAATATGATGAATAAGCAATGATCCATAAAGATCCTTAGGGTGTACTACCTCTCATGAACTGGAGCTTCTTTATCCAGGAAGAAATGGGGCCTTAATGAGCCTCTCCCATTGTTGTCTTTTAAGATGTTAGTGGAGCATCTTGGCTCTCAGACTGTGTCAGGTCTCGGAGCTGAGCAGCCCGAAGAAGCTGGAGTGGCAGCACAGTGAACATGAGCAGCAGACAGCATGGGCCCTGGCCATCTGAGATATAGGAGCTGTGAAGTGCCATGAGGCCGCATTTGGGTACTTTTGGTATTGGAGTTCCTCTTCATGTGCACAGAAATACAGCATTTAGCTCAGGTAATTCATTATACAGTAGAAAAGTGAACATTCTCATTGAAATAGAATATGGATTATGTTCAGGGGATGAAAACAAGTAAATTTCAATTCATCCAAAACTTAGATCCCTTTCACAAGTTTTAAACAACTTATATTTTGTAAGAAGGAGAAAGGATACCATATGTCCATTTACTGATGGATAAACCAGGCCCTACAAAGGCTGTGTAAAACTCCAAACTGGCCAATTTAGAAGGTCTCTTAATACCACCCTAAAGCTCTTCCCCAAATGGGATTAAATTAAGATACTCATAAACCAGAATTCATTTATTTGAATTTCAGTCTTTATCTTTACATTTATTTATCTGGTTTCTCTCACTGAATATATTTTCCTTCTCCAAAGTAGAAGAAAAAATTGATATTTATCTCTCCTACTTTTCTAGAGGATTAAAAAAGTATACATGAATGGCTAAAAAATCATAAAAATATTTCATAGAAACTTATGATTTATTCTCCTACACAGATCAAAATTTGACATTGCCTTATTATCATTGAACACTACACATTTTCTCTTCATCTCATCAGTTTTATCTGGATTGGATTCAGATCTTGTTCAGAACAAGAACACAGAGAGCAAGAACAAACTTGTGGACACATTATGAGGTTATAAGCCCTTTGGAAAGTTTTGTGAATGATCTGATGGAATTATATACATTTCAAGAGGTTGGCAATGGGAATTAAAGTGAGCACTGGAATATTAAACTTCATTTGTTATGAGAGTAATAGCTTGTCCATTACTCATGATTTATCAGACATGAAATACATACATAGTTGTTAGAAGTACAAACTTCCAACTCTTGCTTTATGATAAAATGTATGTGATGTGACTTAGCATGGGATCCAATAAAATGCTGAGGAAAAAGTCAACATGCAAATAGTGCTCTAAAAAATTTAAACAATAGTTTCACTTCTCTTTCTCCAGGCCTTCACTAGCTGATGTCTAAAATAATAAATTTCACAGACATGTTGGAATACCATTAAATATGAATGTGAATGCACAGCAGTAGAGCAAATCTCCAGTTTTGCTACAAAGGGTCAAAGAGGTGTAATACCCTCCTCCGCATCAGGAAAATGGATATTAAATATACTTTCTAATGGTTAAAATTAAGGGTGTGGTGGAGAAAGAATGAATGGAATACATACTGTGGTGTTCTCCCTGAGAAGGGTTTTCGGGTAGCGCTGCAGAGGATGTAGCTGGTAATAAATGAGAACATTCCCCACATAGACAGAAATCACCACCAGTAAAGTTTTTTTTTTAACATCTTTATTGGAGTATAATTGCTTTACAATTTTGTGTTAGTTTCTGCTTTATAACAAAGTGAATCAGTTATACATATACATATGTTACCATATCTCTTCCCTCTTGCATCTCCCTCCCTCCCACCTTCCCTAACCCACCCCCCTGGGTGGTCACAAACCACCTAGCTTATCTCCCTGTGCTATGCAGCTACTTCCCACTAGCTATCTATTTTAAGTTTGGTAGTGTATATATGTCCATGCCACTCTCTCACTTTGTCACAGCTTACCCTTCCCCCTTCCCATATCCTCAAGTCCATTCTCTAGTAGGTCTGAGACTTTATTCCCACCTTACCCCTAGGTTCTTCATGACCCTTTTTTTTCTTAGATTCCATATATGTGTGTTAGCATATGGTATTTGTTTTTCACTTTCTGACTTCACTCTGTATGACAGACTCTATGTCCATCCACCTCACTACAAATAACTAAATTTCGTTTCTTTTAATGGCTGAGTAATATTCCATTGTATATATGTGCCACATCTTCTTTATCCATTCATCTGTTGATGGTAGATTGCTCCCATGTCCTGGCTATTTCAAATAGAGCTGCAATGAACATTTTGGGACATGACTCTTTTTGAATTCTGGTTTCCTCAGGGGATATGCCCAGTAGTGAGATTGCTGGGTCGTATGGTAGTTCTATTTGTAGTATTTTAAGGAACCTCCATACTGTTCTCCATAGTGGCTGTACCAATTCACATTCCCACCAACAGTGCAAGAGTGTTCCCTTTTCTCCACACTCTCTCCAGCATTTATTGTTTCTAGATTTTTTGATGATAGCCCTTCTGACTGGTGTGAGATGAGATCTCATTGTAGTTTTGATTTGCATTTCTCTCATGATTAATGATGTTGAACATTCTTTCATGTGTTTGTTGGCAATCTGTATATCTTTGGAGAAATGTCTATTTAGGTCTTCTGCCCATTTTTGGATTGGGTTGTTTGTTTTTCTGTTATTGATCTGCATGAGCTACTTATAAATTTTGGAGATTAATCCTTTGTCAGTTGCTTCATTTGCAAATATTTTCTCCCGTTCTGAGGGCTGTCTTCTGGTCTTGTTTATGGTTTAATTTGCTGTGCAAAAGCTTTGAAGTTTCATTAGGTACCATTTGTTTATTTTTGTTTTTATTTCCATTTCTCTAGGAGGTGGGTCAAAAAGGATTTTGCTGTGATTTATGTCATATAGTGTTCTACCTATGTTTTCCTCTAAGAGTTGGATAGGGTCTGTCTTACACTTAGGTCTCTGATCTATTTTGAGTTTATTTTTGTGTATGGTGTTAAGGAGTGTTCTAATTTCATAGTTTTACATGTACCTGTCCAGCTTTCCCAGCACCACTTATTGAAGAAGCTGTCTTTTCTCCACTGTATATTCTTGCCTCCTTTATCAAAGATAAGGTGACCATATGTGCATGGGTTTATCTCTGGGCTTTCTATATTGTTCAATTGATCTATATTTCTGTTTTTGTGCCAGTACCCTACTGTCTTGATTACTGTAGTTTTGTAGTATAGTCTGAAGTGCAGGAGCCTGATTCCTCCAGCTCCGTTTTTCTTTCTCAAGGTTGCTTTGGCTATTCGGGGTCTTTTGTGTTTCCATACAAATGGTGAAATTTTTGTTCTAGTTCTGTGAAAAATGCCAGTGGGAGTTTGTTAGGGATTGCATTGAATCTGCAGATTGCTTTGGGTAGTAGAGTCATTTTCACAATGTTGATTCTTCCAATCCATGAACATGGTATATCTCTCCATCTATTTGTATCATCTATAATTTCTTTCATCAGTGTCTTATAATTTTCTGTATACAGGTCTTTGTCTCCTTAGGTAGGTTTATTCCTAGATATTTTATTCTTTTTGTTGCAATGGTAAATGGGAGTGTTTTCTTAATTTCACTTTCAGATTTTTCATCATTAGCGTATAGGAATACAAGAGATTTCTGTGCATTAATTTTGTATCCTGCTACTTTACCAAATTCATTGATTAGCTCTAGTAGTTTTCTGGTAACATCTTTAGGATTCTCTATGTATAATATCATGTTATCTGCCAACAGTGACAGCTTTACTTCTTTTCCAATTTGGATTCCTTTTATTTCTTTTTCTTCTCTGATTGCTGTGGCTAAAACTTCCAAAACTACATTGAATAAGTGTGGTGAGAGTGGGCAACCTTGTCTTGTTCCTGATCTTAGTGGGAATTGTTTCAGTTTTTCACCATTGAGAACAATGTTGGCTGTGGGTTTGTCATATATGGCCTTTATTAGGTTGAGGAAAGTTCCCTCTGTGCCTACTTTCTGCAGGGTTTTTATCATAATTGGGTGTTGAATTTTGTTGAAAGCTTTCTCTGCATCTATTGAGATGATCATATGTTTTTCCTCCTTCAATTTGTTAATATGGTGTATCACACTGATTGATTTGCATATATTGAAGAATCCTTGCATTCCTGGAATAAACCCCACTTGATCATGGTGTATGATCCTTTTAATGTGCTGTTGGATTCTGTTTGCTAGTATTTTATTGAGGAATTTTGCATCTACGTTCATCAGTGATATTAGCCTGTAGTTTTCTTTCTTTGTGATATCTTTGTCTGGTTTTGGTATCAGAGTGATGGTGGCCTCGTAGAATGAGTTTGGGAGTGTTCCTCCCTCTGCTGTATTTTGGAAGAGTTTGAGAAGGATAGGTGTTAGCTCTTCTCTAAATGTTTGATAGAATTCGCCTGTGAAGCCATCTGGTCCTGGGCTTTTGTTTGTTGGAAGATTTTTAATCACAGTTTCAATTTCAGTGCTTGTGATATGTCTGTTCATAGTTTCTATTTCTTCCTGGTTCAGTCTTGGAAGGTTGTGCATTTCTAAGAATTTGTCCATTTCTTCCAGGTTGTCCATTTTATTGACATAGAGTTGCTTGTGGTAATCTCTCATGATCCTTTGTATTTCTGCAGTGTCAGTTGTTACTTCTCCTTTTTCATTTCTAATTCTATTGATTTGAGTCTTCTCCCTTTTTTTTCTTGATGAGTCTGGCTAATGGTTTATCAGTTTTATTTATCTTCTCAAAGAACAAGCTTTTAGTTTTATTGATCTTTGCTATCGTTTCCTTCATTTCATTTTCATTTATTTCTGATCTGATCTTTATGATTTCTTCCCTTCTGCTAACTTTGGGGTTTTTTTGTTCTTCTTTCTCTAATTACTTTAGGTGCAAGGTCAGGTTGTTTATTTGAGTTGTTTCCTGTTTCTTAAGGTAGGATTGTATAGCTATACACTTCCCTCTTAGAGCTGCTTTTGCTGCATCCAATAGGTTTTGGGTCGTCATGTCTCCATTGTCATTTATTTCTAGGTATGTTTTGATTTCCTCTTTGATTTCTTCAGTGATCACTTCGTTATTAAGTAGTGTATTGTTTAGCCTCCATGTGTTTGTATTTTTTACAGATATTTTTTTCCTGTAATTGATAGCATTGTGGTCAGATAAGATGCTTGATAAGATTTCAATTTTCTTAAATTTACCAAGGCTAGATTTGTGGCCCATGATATGATCTATCCTGGTGAATGTTCCATGAGCACTTGAGAAGAATGTGTATTCTGTTGTTTTTGGATGGAATGTCCTATGAATATCAATTAAGTCCATCTTGTTTAATGTGTCATTTAAAGTTTGTGTTTCCTTATTTATTTTCATTTTGGATGATCTGTCCATTGGTGAAAGTGGAGTGTTAAAGTCCCCTACTATGATTGTGTTACTGTCGCTTTCCCCTTTTATGGCTGCTTGCATTTGTCTTATGTATTGAGGTGCTCCTATGTTGGGTGCATAAATATTTACAATTGTTATATCTTTTTCTTGGATTGATCCCTTGATCATTATGTAGTGTCCTTCTTTGTCTCTTGTAATAGTCTTTGTTTTAAAGTCTATATTGTCTGCAATGAGAATTGCTACTCCAGCTTTCTTCTGATATCCATTTGCATGGAATATCTTTTCCATCCCCACACTTTCAGTCTGTATTTGTCCCTGGGTCTGAAGTGGGTCTCTTGTAGACAGCATATATAAGGGTCTTGTTTCTATATCCATTCAGCCAGTCTTTTGGTGGGAGCATTTAATCCATTTACATTTAAGGTAATTATTGATATATATGTTCCTATTCCCATTTTCTTAATTGTTTTGGGTTTGTTATTGTGGGTCTTTTCCTTCTCTTGTGTTTCCTGCCTAGAGAACTTCCTTTAGCATTTGTTGTAAAGCTGGTTTGGTGGTGCTGAACTCTCTCAGCTTTTGCTTGTCTGTAAAGGTTTTAATTTCTCCATCAAATCTGAATGAGATCCTTGCTGGTTAGAGTGATCTTTGTTGTAGGTTTTTCTCCTTCATCACTTTAAATATGTCCTGCCATTCCCTTCTGGCTTGTAGAGTTTCTGCTGAAAGATCAGCTGTTAACCTTATGGGGATTCCTTTGTGTGTTATTTGTTGTTTTTCCCTTGCTGCTTTTAATATGTTTTCTTTGTATTTAATTTTTGATAGTTTGATTAATATGTACCTTGGCGTGTTTCTCCTTGGATTTATCCTGTATGGGACTTTATGTGCTTCCTAGACTTGATTAACTATTTCCTTTCCCATATTTGGGAAGTTTTCAACTATAATCTCTTCAAATATTTTCTCAGTCCTTTTCTTTTTCTCTTCTTCTTCTGAGACCCGTATAATTCGAATGTTGGTGAGTTTAATGTTGTCCCAGAGGTGTCTGAGACTGTCCTCATTTCTTTTCATTCTTTTTTCTTTATTCTGCTCTGCAGTAGCTATTTCCACTATTTTATCTTCCAGGTGACTTATCTGTCCTTCTGCCTCAGTTATACTGCTATTGATCCCTTCTAGAGTATTTTTAATTTCATTCATTGTGTTATTCACCATTGCTTGTTTCCTCTTTAGTTCTTCTAGGTCCTTGTTAAGTGTTTCTTGAATTTTCTCTTTTCTATTTCCAAGATTTTGGATCATCTTTACTATCATTATTCTGAAGTATTTTTCAGGTAGACTGCCTATTTCCTCTTCATTTGTTAGGTCTGGTGGATTTTTATCTTGCTCCTTCATCTGCTATGTGTTTTTCTGTCTTTTCATTTTGCTTATCTTACTGTATTGGGGGTCTCCTTTTTGCAGGCTGAAGGTTCGTAGTTCCCGTTGTTTTTGGTTTCTGTCCCCAGTGGCTAAGGTTGGTTCAGTGGGTTGTGTAGGTTTCCTGTTGGAGGGGACTAGTGCCTATGTTCTGGTGGATGAGGCTGGATCTTGTCTTTCTGGTGGGCAGGTCCACATCTGGTGGTGTGTTTTGGGGTGTCTCTGGCCTTTTTATGATTTTAGGCATCCTCTCTGCTAATGGATGGGGCTCTGTTCCTGTCTTGCTAGTTGTTTGGCATAGGGTGTCCAGCACTGTAGCTTGCTTGCTGGTTGAGTGAAGCTGGGTGTTTGTGTTGAGATGGAGATCTCTGGGAGATTTTTGCCATTTGATATTATGTGGAGCTGGGAGGTCTCTTGTGGACCAGTGTCCTGAAGTTGGCTCTCCCACCTCAGAGGCACAGCCCTGATGTTCGGCTGGAGCACCAAGAGACTGTCCTCCACATGGCTTTTGGGAGGTCTGCGGTCTTCTGCCAGTGTTCAGTGGGTGTTCTATAAGAGCAGTTCCACGTGTAGATGTATTTCTGATGTATCTGTGGGGAGGAAGTTTATCTCTGCGTCCTACTCTTCCACATCTTCTCCTGTCACCACCACCAGTGAAGTTTTATTGTGAAAAACTAAGGGACAACCCACATCTGCAACAAGGTCACCAGCTGTCAGAGAGATAAACAGAAAGGCTCCTTCAGTGACTGAGGGCCAGATGGCACCTCTACTATTACACGATTCAGAAGCTACTCTGGGGCAGGGGGAAGCCACCTTCACCATCCTGTTTGGAACATGCACCTGGCTCACCACCCACCTGCAAGCTGCTCTGTACATGTGCAGCTATGGAAGGCACAGTTATTTGAACATTAGGATGGGAAATAATCCAAAATATGCATCTTCTGTCACCTCCTTCTACAGATATTTCAGATGAAAGGAACTTTAGGGTGCAACAGTTATGTGATTTTGGACAAATGAGCTGCACTTTAGTGGTAAAATCGGGGGACACAATGTCTGCTTCCCCTGTGTTGACTGAGGTGGGGAACAAAGGAGATCACAGCTGGGAAAGTGCTCTGGAAGCAGTACTGAGCTACAGGGAGCCGAGCGGCTGTTGTTACTATGACAGCACATATACAAATGCACTGCGATGGCAAAGGAGGGAGTGGTGTCAATGCAGCAGCATCTGGGACTCTCCTGCCTGCTGTCCCACTGTGCTCTGCAGGGCTACTCTCACATCCCCACTGTTGGGTTACCTTGTCCCTGATGATTGGATCTTCAACCCACCATATTTCTTCTTGTCTTTTCTCTTCAGTTATTGGTGCCCTGTCCAGGCAGCCCCAGATGTGGATCAGACTCTTTCGTGTCCCTCTGTGTGTAACCCCTTTGTGGCCTATACCACTGACCTGAGTCCAAGTAGCCTTCAGAGGGTCCTTTAAGTTTTCTGGCCTCAGTCCCACTTGGCCGGAAGCAGGATAGACTGTGCTGATGAGCTGTCGGGTCAATGACTTGTTATGGTTACCATAGTGACACTCTTACTCTATAGATCAGGCCTAATGCCAGCTACTCACCTCCTTATAAAAACCACAATAGCAATAACCTTTGATCTTTTATTTTTTATCACATTCAGACTAACCACCTATATATGCTCAGCACCAATATACGAGGAGGCTGGCAAAGAGGTTTTGTCTCAGGTGTAGACTTTAATATGTAGTGGCACCTGGCAATACTCTGTTGAAGGAGATTATGAGATCGGGTCTTAGTTTAGCAGTAAAGAGTATCATGATCAGTTAATTATGTCTGCCAGTGATGTGGAAAAATTTGCCAGAGCACGCATGTCACATGTTTGTCATCTGAGTATAAAAAAGACTGATGTCATTTGTTTGTTTACTTTCTTCATCTTCGTAATAAAAAGAAGTGGCTTAGAAAAAAAGTTTGTGAGTATATTTGGGTCCTTTAATGAGAACTTGGTTATAATAATCTCAAAGTCAATAAACAAAATTATTTGATAGAACTTCAAGATTTAAACCAAAAAGACCCAAGGCCACAGCCATTCTTCTTTCCATGTCAAATAAGAAGACATCTTCCAGGTTTTTTATTTCTTCATCTCATAAATGGCCTGGATCTGAAGTCTTCTTAGAGTGGCTCTAAATCTTCTTTCAGAGAACACTACAATTGTTATTATATATATGCATTTGAACAAAAATACACACAGATCAAATCTGAAGTAACTATTTGGAGAGTTCAGGAAAAAATATCTTATAATAACTTACTTTTTTTGTCTTTAAATTACAGGCAGTACTTCCAGGGAAGGGTAAATACTCTTCACTTCTGTCCAAATTAGTCAGATCATTGCTTTAATTTTCCATTCTACTTTGTGGGTACCGTCAAAGCTAATGAATGAGTTTGCACCTTTCTTTCTGATATTGAGATAAAGATGTATATATCTAAACAGGAAAAACAGGTTTTACTTAAGGAAGTAGAGTAGTTTTCATGAGGACCACAAACCACATGCTAGGTAACCAGGACTCAAGATATGTTTCCTTTAGCACTCAGCGTCAGCAACTTTGACTCTACTAGTGATAATGAAAGTGTGCAGCCCCTTGAAAAATCTCCTCCGTATCTAGATCATTCATTTCCCATAGCTGATCATAGAGATTGTTAGCTATGATAAATGATAGATTTTGACTTTTTTCTTAGTTTATTACTTCTGATATTAAAAGAGGAAATGGACATAAACTCCATCTTTCAAAATCTGATCATCTCTCATTTGCATTTTTCATCTTTTTGTTTTAAGAATTTGATTCACTTTTATATCTACCCCACAAAATGCTGAATTTTTTTAAAATAAAAAGTTAAGATTCAGTTCAGTTTAATTTAGTGAAACTACCATGCTCCTATGTTTTATACTTTAGATTATAAGCCAAAATTTACAAGACTAATCCATTTCCTCTAATCAGTGGAGCTACACTCTTTTACAGTTTGAAGTGATGACTGGACTATATTCTTATAAAACTAGTTCTTTCCCTGTAGGTCTATAAGTACAACCTATTTCTAGAAGATTCCAAATTTCTCTTACTTGATGCCTGGATTTAATTAACAGTAAATAACAATGTTCAAATGTATACACATGCTACTTAAAAAAATATAGGCCTTGGAGATCAGAAATAAAAGGAAAGCAAAAAATCATTATAATGTATTGTGTATGCAAATATTTAATTTCTTAACTATCTTTAAAGTGGATACCCAGTGCCGTGTTTTCTCAGCATGCAAGGGGAAAGGTCAGAAGTTTGCATGATGAATTCAATAATTGTATAAGAACTCATTTTGAAATGAGGGCCACATTTCAGAGCGATTTAAAAGATTCTTTATCAATTTCCAGAGCAGTTAGAACTTCTCATTTTTAATAATAACTGCCACATATGAAATGTAGGAATGTTGTGCCTCATAAATAAACGCATGAAATATGTGAAATTGAGGCACATGCATGCAAAGGAGGAAACCTGGCAGCTGGGACACATTAATAATGCCAGAGGGGTCACCATCTGGGCATGTGCGGATAAAACACATCTGCATTCCTGGCAAAGGGCAGCCTGTGCATCTGGATCACATCACCCCGTCCTCCCCACCCACGCATCATGGCAGGAGGAATTTCCTGACGAATAAGATGCTGCTGAAAGGTACCATGTTTGTTCTTGCAGCCATGCACATAATGAATATGAAAAGAACTGCTAATCAAGTCAAAACAAAGAAATCTTTTCATTTGTCTAATTGTACAGAATGATGAATGAGTCACACAGTATGAAAGAAAGAAAGAAAGAAAAAGAAAGTTGTTTTATGCCCATTCCCTTTGCACTACAAATCCTAAACTATCTGCAACCATTTGTGGTGGGTCTGTGTGTATTTGTATGGGTGGGGCTGGAGGGAGAGCAGAGGGATGCTCAGAGGTAAGCAGAAAATTATAATTTCCTGGCTCCAGGAAATATTGCTGCTATCAGTTCAAAGTCAATGAAGGAGAGTGTGGACATATCGAATAAGTAAAAGTACGGAATCCTGGCATATGAAGGGCTCTTAGAAATTCACTTGCTCCATATTTCTATCTTCAAATCAATTGACTGTTGATTTTGCTACTTAAATTCTTAAAGGAGATTCTGCAGTGGCATATATGTATACATGTAAGTATGTATGCAACTATGTATGTATTTGTGTATTAAAAAGATTCGAATAGATAACACTTTATTGGTACAGTAATGCGTTTTAGTGTTTCACAGCTATTAATAGTCAGGAAGTTTGATTTAAATAAAGCAAATTTTCAATCTGTGGCAAATTATTTGCCTGTGTATTGAGGCAAGTTAACAGTGTATCTGAAGCTGAAATTCTGTGTATTTACTCCTCAAGCCTTCTATTGATTTGAAGAGCAGTAGAAAGATTCTTTTTTGGTGCACCCTCCTCCACTTCCTGCAGATACGAAAAACAGGATACATAAAAGAAGGTGGCGAGGGTGTTGTTGAATGAAATTTTATTTTTAATTAAATGCTGTTAAAAGCATTTGGGAATAATTTAACTTTGAGGCTTTGCCTATGTGTATACTGTATCAACACTAGCAGCTGGAAAGAGAAAAATTCAAATATCCAGATGTTCAGTCTATGCTGTGCTAAAAATGTGATCGTGTATTTGCAAACATTCAGGTATTTAGTAGTATCTCAAACAAAATATGAAAAATTTTCTACTTTCTACCCACACTTTTTGGCATCACCTAGGAGCAGCTTATGTTATATTTTTCAACTTTATTTTCTTAATAAGCTGTTTCCTTTGCTCTATGTATTTATGATAAGTTTCTCTGATGTACACAGCTCCTATAGACCATACAACAGAATCAGTCTAGACAAATTAAATGAGCACTTCAGAAGACAGACAAATTTGTTAAAAGCTGTATCTGAAAAAATTCTGAGCTTTTGGATTGGTCTCTCGCCTCTGAAGTACCTGGTCCAAATTATGCATGAAATAATGTGAAAGTAATAATACTTTATGCATAATAAATAATACCTTCAGGGCATAAATATTATGTATAAATAATAATAATAATACCTTCAATGTACAAAACTGTTCACACACATTATTGTGTGTGTACTTCCTACTTTTTTTTCTAAATTCCTCCCTTTTTTATCTGTAAACTCCCACTCCCACCATTTATCATTGATTGACTGAATTGTTCCATCCCAGTACACAAATATAGGAGTATCAGAATTGTTAACCTGTACCGCATGGGAAACAACCTTGCCCACTAGTGATCACATGAAGCTCCTATTGACTTCATCTTACAGACTCTCATTTCCAAAGGTACTCAGAGCAGCACCTTTCCCCCTAATTCCCTTCAATGAGGTTGTTTCACACACTTGTAATGCACTTAGATTTTCTCTTCACGGTCTGCATTTCTCCCTGGGATTCCCTAAGCTTCCTAAATGATTTTTAAAAATTTGCATACCTTAAGGTCTGCTTTTTGTGCTGTATAGTTCAATGGGATTTGACAAATGCATAATATCTTGTAAGCAAAATTACAGTATCATACAGATCAGTTTTACTGCCTTAAATTCCCATTTCACTTCCTTATCCTTTTCCTTCCCTGAGCCACTGGCAACCACTAATTATTTTATTGTCTTTGTTTTTGCATTTT